GGAAGTTTATCGATTACTAACTGCGAAACCAAATCAAATGAGCCCAATTGCATATTAAAGAGCACATTCTAATCTATCAAAAGGTTACATGACAGCCTTCTACACCGACGACATCAGAAGATTTTCCCACGGAAACATGGTTCACGGTACGAGCTCAACGAGGTCGTCGAGGTACCATAGACCATTACGACGTCCCTGAAACGCTGGTCAAAAGCGGTCTTGCACAGTCACAGCTAGTGTCTCTGGAAGCTATTCACCAGTTAACCGATTGAAGAAATTATGTAGCAGCTTCAGGCCGGAGCGATTACGGTAAGCCTCGTTGAGCTCGACGGTGACGGCAGATGACGTCATATTCTGAAGACGGTGAGGGCAGTGAAGGAGGGCCTGCTTCTGCTTATGGGGGGACACCTAAGGAATATTCTGCCGTAAAACATTCATTAACCGGCATCCTGTGCGACGAAAAGTTTGATGATGTGCGCCATAGGCAAAGTGACTCTTTTTTTTGGCCCCCCCCCTGTATATATAAAGCTGCAGTAGATAACCGATCCTTAACTTTCTTCAACCCTTGATTTCCTGAGCGAAGGGCAGCAAATTCTTTTGGCGGAATGTACAGAATTCAATCGATTCGAAAAGTTTCATTGGTGATTAAACGCTTCAACATATTGCTGTTTTCTGACTCGCAGTGCTTTGTAAACACTTCTGCTCCATTCTTATTCAATGACGCTTCCAATTTGGTTGATTATCAGCACATATGTGCCTGCAACGATGTCTATCCATATCGGCATAAATGGAGTGCTTCTATGCACGAACCCATTTAGCGCTACAGCTATGGTTTTTTTGATGGAGCGAGATTTTGGTCAAAGTAAGTGTTTTGGTTCACGAGCCCAAGTAATGTTTACAGTAACTACAAACTACAAAAAATATAACTATAAAAATCGAAGTGACAGTACAGAAACGGTTGTCAACTACTGACTGCGGGATTTATTTGGCCTTCATGGGGTTAATAAATAGAATAGTTTCGCTGTCAACATCAATTACGAAAGTGGTTTTGTTCAGTGTTGGGCTTAATGCCTTACATCACTCCGAGCTAGAGGAAGGAACTGTGCACAAAAAATTTGCCAAAAAAGTTTTTTACCACATTAACATGCTTTCTACGACGAAAACCCGAGGAGGAAGTTATCGAGAGAATAAGGTGACTAGTTCTCCTGCGCCAGTTGTCGTTGTGAAGCTTCCTTAAAGCAACAATCCAAACGAATTCGCGGGCAAAACCACCAATAATGAAGTTGTAGGTGAAAAGTTGACCAATAATGAAAGAAAAAGTAAAAAAAAACGTCGAACAGGGACTTAGACAGGGACTCCCCCTCTGCCACTTAGCAATGGAGGAAGACGCGTGTTGGACGAGTTGTCTGAACATGCCCGCAGTAAATGCGCCCAATTGCAATTGCTGGCAAGTAGCCAGCAATAGCTGGCTACTTGTCAGCAATTGCATAGGAGCCAGCTATTGCTGGCAAGTAGCTAGCAATAGCTGGCTACTTGCCAGCAATTGCAATTGGGCGCAATAATGAAATCGTTTTATGTTTTGAAGGTAGAAGGTAGAAGGAAAAAACGTAGAAATCCAGCGTAGTCGGCATCACCACATCGATTGCTTCAAAGGATCGACCTCAAATAGTCCCGGTGGTCCCGAAACGACCGCAAATGTCTGCGCAGCCAATCACGCACTCTTCACGACAGAAGTGGGCGGCCGTACCGAGGCTCGGTGGATCCGCCCACTTCGACGGCGTTAGACCCCCTTCCAACGCCTTTCAAAGGTAAGTTTTCAAATCAGTGACATTTCCTATGTATTGACTAGGTCTAGTGCTAGTGGCTATTGCCACTTAGGATCGAATGGTTGAAGAGGCAGGGATAGCCGAGTGGTTAAGAGGTTAGACTCATGTCTGCACCTCTGAAAACCGCGAGTTCGATCCCTGCCGAGGTTAACCATGCCTTGCAAAAATTGCAAAAATGGTTCTAGTACCAGCGTCAGGCCCAGGTTGACAGGCCGGCTGATGAAGACCCCCGTCACAACAAATATGTCTAAAGTCGAAAAAGTCGATAAAGCTAGGACGTCATCCGGAAGTATATATTTATTTATTTATTCATTTATTACACGAGCTATGTTCGAACGTAGAAAAAAAAACGGAAAGATAATAAGTCCAACCAGTTTTGCATCTTCAAACA